AGGGGAACTGTGTCCGTTTTGGCTGCCAGCGGCCCTTGTAGAGGGAGCCCCATCCTATGCTTGGGGCCTGGCCACACCAGCTGGGGCTGCAGGGGGGAACTCTGGTGGTGGGGGAAGAGTAGTTAGGAGACACCTGCGACTCCTGAGGTCTGTCTGGAGTTCTGTGGTTAGGGGACCAGGAGTAGGGGAATACAAGGAGGGGTGAGGGATGTGAGGAAGGGCGAGCTGCCCCTCTGGAGTGGCCAAACGCAATGTGAATCCAAGGGCAGGGACAGTGATATTTTTATTCCTGGTCACTCACTCACAAGTGCACTGAACGTTCTGAGAGAGGAGAGAGTGAGAGCAAAGCTGGACAGAGGGCAATTCAGAGAGAGGGACACATGGGCAGACACTGAGTGAGGCAGGAAGGGGGAGAGAGGAGCAGAAAACCACGGACCCCGAAAAGAGGCAGAGAGAAGACAGAAGGCAAGATTGAGGTCAGGCTGTGAAGTGAAGAACAGGAGGGAAGAGGAGGGAGAGAGACACGCAATATACCAAACACAGCATAAAGGGAGGCGGCCCTGAGGCAGGAGGAGGGAGGAGAGAAAGCCCCCAACCCAAAACAGGCCCTGAAGTTTTCACCCCAGCGTGGGCCACGGAACCTACTAGTTCAGGGCCCACAGGTTCCAGGAGCTACAGCCAGGCCGGGATCCACAGGGCCAGCCCTGCAACAGCCCTGCAGGCCCCAAACCCCTCGCCCAGCCCCCAGCACTTCCTCCCCAGGATCCCGGACAATGGACAGGGGAGGGTGGGGTCATCCTGTATCCATCCCACAAGCCCCAGGGCCCCACAGCTGGGACACCCAGAATACCTGTCTTTGGAAGGCAAGGGGGGGTCCAGGGAACCTCCGTGAGAAAGGGGAAAGGAGGGCATGGAAGTGGGCCCCAGCCCGGGGCTAGTGTGATGGCGTCCACTGGCCTCGGGCGGGAAAGTGCCAGGCGGCAGCCCAGGAATGTGGGTGATCGGGTGCCCACACCCTAGGAGCAGAGGCTGAGCAACCCGCACCCACAGACAGCGGGGGTGGAGGCTCTAGAGAGGAGCCAGGGGTGTCAGACACAACACCTGTATCCCTACCTACACCCCAAGCTCCTTGTCATGGTAAGCCTCATCTCACCACCTTCCCAGGCACTACAGGGGAAGACTGAGGGGACGGGTGTCCCAGGACAGGGAGCACCTGAAAACACTAGGGCCAGTTCAGGAAGAACAGCACTGACCCCTGCCCCTACCCCAGAACCCTGACCAAGGGAAAGGAGGGACACTTGGGCGGCCACAGCCTATGGTGTGACCCGGTGACACTTAATGGGATAGAGAAAGGGGACCGTGACCCAAAGGGACAAGAAGAGCAAGTTGTAAAGAAGCAGTGGGGAGCTCGTGGCTGGGGTGGGGCCCGACCAGCCCGGAAGGGGCGCTCGGGCCATCAGCACCTTGTCCCTTGCAGGGTGGGATTCTCAAAACAGGTTCCCACCGGGCTGCTCGGGGCTGCACAGCCCACCGACGGCCGCCCGGGGCCTGGCACCTCTCTGCGCCTCCGGGACAAAACAGCACATGATCCCGGGCTCCCGTGGCCGGCCGGGACTCCGCCGGGCGGTGCAAACGGGACCCCGGCTCCCCGCCACCCCCATCCCAGCCCGGCGCATTCCTCCGCGGGCGTCCCCTCCCTTCCCCCCCTCGCCAGCTCTCACCTCGTCTCGGCGGGACTCCCGGAGCCGCCCGGCTGAGTGTTCAGGGAACAAACTTTCCGGGAAGCCCGAGACGGGAGCCGGAGGGGGGAGAGTGGGAGGGAGGGGGGCGATCCCAGGCCGGTCGTGCGCCCCCGCCCCTCGCCGGGGGCCCCGGGCGGTGGGCAGCCGACTCGCGCCCCGGGGGCGGCAGCAGCAGCGGCGCCAGCGGCCGGCGCCCGCCCGGGCAGCGCGAGCTGGGGCGGGAGCGCGGGGCGGGGGCCGGGCGGGCGCGTGCGCGCGCGCCGTCCCGAGCGGGGGGCCGGGAGCGGCCGGGAGCGGCCGGGAGCGCTCGGGACTCTTCTTGTTAAAGGGGCAACGCTCCCGGACTGTGGGGCCCACCGAACGGGCACCTCGTCACCGAGGCGACGAGGCACAAGGGTAGGCAGGAGGCCGACATTCAGGAGATCATAAGGATGTTCTAGAAGCCGGGAGAGATGCGGGGACGGACCCTGCGGTCACCCTAACCCGGGACCCCGCGCGCGTGCACGCCCGCCGTCGGAGGCGCGCCCGGGGAAGGGGCGGGGCCTCCCGCCTGGCCCCACCCCCTCCGAGGCGTCTCCGCTCTGGCCCCGCCCCTAGCGCGCTGTATAGGCCGGCGCCCGCCTCGAGTGTGGTGACCGCCTCTCTCCTCCTCCCCGCCCGACTCATCGTTCTAGAATTCACCGCGCGGCTGCCTCAGGTGCTGGAGCCAAGTACGGACGGGCGGCGGCGACGTCGACGTCGACGGCAGCACAGACGTTCCTGTTCTCTTGTCCCGGCCCGGTCCTCAAATTTGGTAGCCTCGGTAGCCCTGGCGGCTTCCTCAGGCCTGAGAAACCCCCTCAAACCGGCGGGTGCCGCCTCAGGCCGGAGCCGCCCTCTCCGATCTAGGCTACCCACTGCCCACCCAGCGTGGCCCCTTTAGGCGTCCGCGGACTCCTTAGAACCCGATCGTGCCTTCGTCCTGGGTGCTAGGGAGAACCAGCCGACCCTGTCCCCTTTCGAGGGGTGACCTTCAGCCCAAGACCTACTCCCCCAAACCTAGCCTTTCTGTCCAGGCAATGGCCTACGCCTCCCCCAGAAGGACTCACCATCGGGACCAGACTCAGCCCCAGGCTGGCCCCGCGGTCCTCATCTGCCCTCCTGGCCCTGTCACGCGTCCTTGAGCGCCTTCCTCCCTTAGGTTAAGGGTACCCACAGAAGCCCCCCAGTCTCGGGAGTCTGGCCCTCAGCGCCAACGGCCGGCTGAGTTTTGCCAACATGTTCCTGGCTCAAGACATCCCGACTGGAGCCTTTTTGTCTTTTCTGCCCAACTCGGACTCTCCCCACCTGCCACCCCTTCACTTTTTTTTTTTTTTTTAAAGCTATGTTTACTTTTATCCGAAGGGTAGATTTTTTTACGGAGAGGAGAGAGAGATAGGATCTTCCACCTGCTAAGTGAACTCCCCAGATGGCTGCAACGGCAGGAACTGAGCTGATCCAAAGCCAGAGTTTCCGGGTCTCCCATGTGGGTACAGAGTCTCAAGGCTTTGAGTCATCCACCACTGCTTTCCCAGGCCACAAGCAGGGAGCTGGATGGGAAGTAGAGCAACCGGGACACGAATTGGTGCCCATATGGGATACCAGAGTTTACAGGGGGGAAATTAGCCCACTAACTGTCCTTCCAAACCCACCCCTCCCATTTTTTACCTTAGCCCATCCCTAGCTGATGGCTCAGCGCATCCCTAACCCTTGGATAAACAGTCTCCTCCTAAGTTCTGTCCCTTGTGTAGCCTATATGCACTTCCATGTCTTACCTGGCATGCCGTCCTCGACTGCTTTCCCGGGCCACAGGCAGGGAGCTGGAAGGGAAGCGGGGCTGCCGGGATAGAACCGGCGCCCATATGGGATCCCAGGCGTGCAAGGCGAGGACCTTAACCACTGCGCCACCGCGCCAGGCCCTTACCTGGCATTCTAACCTGCCTTTCCTACTGAGTGCCTCTGGACATCTTTAACTGTTCCTAATTATGACACTATACAAATTATTTCTCTCACACACAATATTTATTTATTTGGCAGTGACAGAGGGAGCAGCCTTCGACCCACTGGTTCACTCAACAAATGGCTACATGGGGGGGGAGGGATTTGCTAAGGGGGTGGGGAAATCCCAGACCCTATGGAATTTTACCATAAAATTTCAGAATAAAGGGCCCGGTGCAGTAGCCTAGTGGCTAAAGTCCTCACCTTGAGCACACCAGGATCCCATATAGGTCCCGGTTCTAATTCTGGCAGCTCCATTTTCCATCCAGCTCCCTGCTTGTGGCCTGGGAATGCAGTGGAGGATGGCCCAAAGCCTTAGAACCCTGCACCCATGTGGGAGCATGGAGGAAGCTCCTGGCTTCAGATCAGCGCAGCACTGGCCATTGGTCACTCAGGGAGTGAATCATCCGATGGAAGATCTTCCTCTCTGCCTCTCCTCTGTGTATATCTGACTTTCCAATAAAAATAAATCTTTTAAAAAATTCAAAATTTAAAAAATTAGGTTTAAGGTTTTTTTTGTTTTTTTTTTTTTTTTTCAAACTGCAACAGCCAGGTCTGGAACAGACAGAAACCAGGATTCCCGGAATTCCATCAGGTCATGTGGATGGCAGGGACTCAAGCCCTTGAGCCAGCTTCTATTAGCTTCCTAGGCACATTAGCAGGAAGATGGATCTGAAGTGGAGTGGCCAGAACTTGCACTTGTGTTCCAACATGGGACACTGCTCCACAACACTGGCCCCTTCTCGGCTCACCTTCTTACCTATAGATATTCCCAGGTGCCCCTCCATCTGTGTTGCCAACTGATCACTCTTTTACTAACTACTCCTACCTGATTCTTCTACTGCCTGACAATTCTGCCACTTCTTTAGGGCCTCCAGACACCAATTCTATGCCAATTATCCCCAAATGCATCTGCCTTATTTAGTCTCTACCTTAAGTCACTTAAAAGCCATTAGAAATTTCACTTTATTGTGTAGCTTCAGAAAAAGTGCTTTCTCCTTCATATTTTATAATGGTCATTTTTCCCATACCTACCATCTTCCACTTGTAGGTTTACCTGACAGCTAAGTATTAAAAACAACTTTTTAAGTTCTTTCATTTTTCACGATGTACACATTTGCTTTCCAGTGCTTAGATTGGCCTAATCCCTGCAACCATTGCATCAGCGAATAATTAGTTCTTCATTTTCTTTTCACAGCACCAGTGAGGAAACTCAACTCAGTTACCCAGCCCTATCCAGTCATGCAGGTTCAGGAAGATGCAGACAACCTCATCCCTTTTGCCAAGTGAGTCTTCTCAACCGGGTGGGGAGGATGGGGACAGGAGGGAAGATTGCATACCTGGCTCTTTCTAGAGTAAGAAATAAAAAAACAAGAAGCTCATGGCCTCACCTCAGCAGGTGATTGTTGCTCTATTTCACAAATAGTTTTTAACATTTGAACATTAGAATCTTCCAGACATTGTATTAGACAATATGAGGACTCTGTAGCAAGATAGGGGTACTGCTCTTTATTTCTTTAAAGATTTATTTATTTATTATGGGAAAGTCAGATATACAGAGAGAAGGAGAGACAGAGAGGAAGATCTTCTATCCACTGATTCACTCCCCAAGTGGCCACAACGGTCAGAGCTGAGCCGATCCAAATCCAGGAGCCAGGAGCCTCTTCCAGGTCTCCCATGAGGGTCCAGGGTCCCAAAGACTTGGACCATCCTTGACTGCTTTCCCAGGTCACAAGCAGGGAGCTGGATGGGAAGCAGGGCCACCAGGACACAAGCCAGCACCTATGTGTTATCCTGGCACATTCAGGGCGAGGATGTTAGCCACTAGGTTACCACGCCAGGCCCGGGTCCTACTCTTATAGTGCTTATATTTTACAAGAAGGGATGACCGGGGGGTGGATGTTGGGGGGGAATCCCAGCCTACACAAAATTGTACCTCACAATTCAAAATTCAAAATAAAAATATGTTTTCAAAAAGAAGGGATGACCATGTATAATATAAAATTATATAAAATGAAGTTATCATTATATAATATTACACAGCATCGATGTAATTCAGAGGGTGGACATTTGGCAGAGGGGTTAAGCCACTGCTTGGGATGCCCACCTCCCATTATTAAAGTGCTTGTATTTGAGTTCTAGCTCTGCTTCTGACTTCAGCTTCCTGCTAATATGCACCCTAAAAGGCAGAAAGAGATATTCTTTTTTTTAGATTTATTTTATTTTCATTGGAAAATTAGATATACAGAGAGGAGAAAAGGCAAAGAGGAAGATCTTCCTGTCCAATGATTTACTCCCCAAGTAGCCACAACGGCCAGTGCTGCACCAATCCAAAGCCAGGAGCCAGGAACTTCCTCCAAGTTTCCCACACAGGTGCAGGATCCCTAGGCCTTTGGCCGTCCTCAACTGCTTTCCCAGGCCACAAGCAGGGAGCTGGATGGGAAGTGTAGCTGCCGGGATTAAAATTGGCACCCATATGAGATCCCAGCACGTTCAAGGCGAGGACTTTAGCTGCTAGGACACCATGCTGGGCCCCAAAATAAATAAATCTTAAATAAAAAATAGGAAAATAGAATTTTTGAGCTTGAGCTATTGCATAAGGGGTAAAGCCACTGCCTGTGCTTCAGGCATCCCATATGGGCATTGGTTCAAGTATCGGCTGCTCCGCTCCCCATCCAGCTCCCTAGTGATGTGTATAAGAAAGCAATAAAGGATGTCCCAAGTGCTTGCACCCCTGTACCCATGTAGGAAACCTTAAAAAAGCTCCTGGCTTTGAACTGACCCAGGTCCAGCCATGGCAGCCATTTGGGGAATAAACCCATATGGAAGTGTCTCCGTCTTTCCTCCTGAATTATTCTGAAGTATATCTCAAACCTTTCATTATTCCAAATGGTCATATTTTAAAAGATTGTTCTCATTCCTCTATACAGAATAGATGGCGGAGGAATGACAAAATAAGTAAAGAGAGGAGCAAGAGGCCATTGCAATAATACAGGAAGGACCAGAGGTTCTAGGATGTGGTGCTGGGAATGCAAATGATGAGGAGTGGTTGAACCAATTGAACTTGCTGGTAGACTGAACACAGGAGTTGAGGGGCAGTAAAATACATACTAGGCTTTGATCCCCAGCAAGACAGGTTTTGGGTGATGCCTTTCTGTGAAATGGGGAAGGCTAAAGCGGGAACCAGGACTAGAAATAGAGATTTCCAAGTCATCATTGGTGGCATGTAGGGTCATGGGACTGGGTGAGATGATCTAAGGAGAGACAGAGGCGATAAAGGGTCCCAGGCCTAAGCCCCAGAACCCTCTACTTTCTAGCGAGCAGGAAGGCAGACATCGTTCAGTCTGGGTGCTTTGGAAGTAGTGACCACTGTGCTCACAGCTCTGTCCCCCTCCCTAGCTGCAAGAATACTAGTACTTCTGAGATGGGGGCACAAAGAAGGGGTAAAAAAGATTCTTACATGTGCACCCTTGCCTTGACCTAAAGGAACACTGTCACATCACCTGAGTGGAGAGGACCCACCCTGACAAGCACGCAAGACAATAAGGCTATGATATGTAGAAGCTTCAGATTCAGTGAGAACTGAAGATCCAACAGGAGCCAGTTTCTACCCTCACCTTAGTTCTCTAATGTTCCGTCATGCCAGAGATGGCATGGCCTGAGGAAACCTGTGTGGTATCCTGGAAAGACAAGTCCCCCGCATGCTGGGAGTGAATAGAAGTCCACCTTGTCCTTACCTCAGGTGTTCCAGGGTGGTCAGCCGATGTCCATCGCCCAGTTTGCCTTCTCAGAACCTTGGACTTGGGCCTCAGCGTTATGGAGATGCCTTCTGGGAGAACCTTAGTCAGAGGCCTAGGTGAGTACAGAAGGATCAAGTACTGGGGAGTGGGAAAGTAAGGCTCTACAGTTTATTTATTTTCAGTTTCTTTGAAAGGTAGAGAAAGAGAGAACTTCCGTCCACTGGTGTACTCTCCAAACACTGGCAACAGATGGGATAGAACCAAGTTGAACCAAAAGCCCCAAACACAGTTGGGTCTCCTGCATGGGTGGCAGGAGCCCAAGTTCTTTTTTTTTTTTTTTTTTTTTAAGATTTATTTATTTTTATTACCAAGTCAGATATACAGAGAGGAGGAGAGACAGAGAGGAAGATCTTCCGTCCGATGATTCACTCCCCAAGTGAGCGCAATGGCTGATGCTATGCCGATCCGAAGCCAGGATCCAGGAACTTCTTCTGGGTCTCCCACATGGGTACAGGATCCCACAGCTTTGGGCCATCCTCGGCTGCCTTCCCAGGCCACAAGCAGGGAGCTAGATGGGAAGTGGAGCTACTGGGATTAGAACCGGCGCCCATATGGGATCCCAGTGCGTTCAAGGCGAGGCCTTTAGCCGCCAGGCCATGCTGCTGGGCCTGTGGCAATATTTCAAGTGACATCTTAACCACCAAGCCCAATGACTATAAACATTAAACTACCAGGCCTGGTGCAGAAGCCTATGGCTAAAGTCCTCACCACCTTATGTGTGCTGGGATCCTGTATGGGCACCGGTTTGTGTTCTGGTGGCCCTGCTTCCTATCCAGCTCCCTGTTTGTGACCTGGGAAAGCAGTCAAGGATGGTCCAAGTCTTTGGGACCCTGGACCCTCATGGGAAACCTGGAAGAGGCTCCTGGCTCCTGGATTTGGATCGGCTCAGCTCCGGCTAAGTGCCTATCCAGTAAAAAATAAGTATTTTAAAAAATAAATTAACTACCATAAATTCTTAGACCAGTAAGGCCTAATCTGGGCATAATTTCCTACTGACTCATGGACTTTTTTTTTTTTTTTCTGAATTGGAAAAGCAAATATACAGAGAGAAGGAGATACAGAGAGCATTTTCCAGATCAGCCAGAGCCAAGCCAGGTCTCCCACAGGCATGCAGGGTCCCAAGGCCTTGGACAGTCCTTGACTCTGCTTTCCCAAGTCACCAGCAGGGAGCTGGAAGGGAAGTGGAGCTGCCAAGATACAAACCAGCACCCATTTGGGATCCTAGTAGATGCAAGGCGAGGATTTAGCTACTAGGCTATCACACCAGGTTTGACTCATGGACATTATAACCCCCGTTGCCAGAAAGGTGGTTGGGAGAGTTCATCAGAGGGGAAATATGGACAGGGCATGTCCCCTCTGACCCCAGCTCTCTTTTTGTGTTCACAGCCCCACTTGGATGGAGGAGGAGCACATTCCACCCACGCTGGTATGACAGACCCCACACCTCTGTTAGCAGAGGACAGGCAGCAGAATGCCTGTCTCCCGCTCTCCTAATTCCCCCTTCCCTCTGGTGATCATCAACAAGAGCACTGACAAGACCTGCTCTCAGTCTGTGGAGACTTAGGCGAGAGGCGCCTGGCCAGCAAGTTTCCTGTCACTATCCTTCACCTTTCTAACTTGAAATGCCTGCTGGGATGCAAGGGGCATCTTCCAGATGCGAACTTGTCTTCCCAAGACCCCTGACTCCCTAATTCAGTCCAAGTCCTACCCTTGATGTGCTTCTCCATTGTCTGGCAGAGTGCCACCGGTTGCGTCCAGCCTGACCTGTTCCCTCCTGACGGACTCCCACCCCCTGAGGTGCTTTGCAGAAGGAAGAGAAGGAGGCCACATTTGACGGGGATGCCACAGGGACCTGGCAACGTCCCTGCGCGGGTCAGGGCTGTCACCTACCATCTGGAGGATCTAAGGAAGCGCCAGAGAACCATCAATGAGTAAGAATGCGTCATTTCAGCTCTGGGAGCCAAGTGGGGTTTGGGAGCAGGCTGTGTTGAGCTAAGGAAGAGGCAGAGGGTTTGGAGGGAACTGGAAGTTGTTTGGAAAGGAGCTGTGGGCTTGGTATAATTGCAGTGTGTGTGTGTGTGTGTGTGTGTGTGTGTAGGATTTATTATTTATTTGGAGGCACAGTTATATAGAGAGGGAGACACAGATCTTCCATCTTCTGGTTGACTTTCCAAATGGCTGCAACAGCCAAGGATGGGCTAGGCCAAACCTAGCAGCCTGGAATTGCATCGGGTCTCCCATGTGGGGGGCAGTGGCCCCAGGTGCTTGAGCCATCCTCTGCTGCTTCACTGAGCACATCAACAAGGAGCTGGATTGGAAGTACAAGAGCTGGGACTCCACCTGGTGCTCCTGTGGGATGGCGGTGACACAGGCAGGGCTCCACTGCCGGAACTACGACTCTGGATTTCTGTAATGTGGAAACAAGCAGGGGTACTGAGGGGGTGGAGCAAGAGCCCCAGGAGGTGGAAGGAGTGGCAACTGGATCACCAGGGACAGGAAACCACACCACAGAACTGAAGGATTGTAGGAAAACGGGCAGAAAATTGGGAGTGGAGAGCTGGAGGTCAAAAGGCAGCACCTTTGGGTCCCAGCAGCAAGGGTTTCAGAGCAGAAGGGTGAAGACTGGTGAGAGGCCAGCCTGGCCTCCAGGCCTCTCCTAAACCTCGAGTTTCCACAGACTGAAGAAGGCCCAGTGGGGCAGCTCCACGGCTGCGACTGAGGCCCTGGTGCTGGACGGAGAGGGCCGTGGGTTCCCCAGCACCAACCAGCACTCTGCCCCGGGAGAGGAGAGGGCCACCCACCCGTGGGAGGAGCACTACTTCCTCAGCCCTGACAGGGCCCAGGTATGCTGGAGGGGTGGGGGCTGACGAGGGTGCTGCGGTCTGGGGTCTGGGGTCTGGGTGTGGAGGGAGGGCAGAAGCCAGGGGCCAAGTGCTAGACCCGAGAAATACACTTGGCGAGTGCCACAGACAGGGGGATCTGGGCTTGGAGACTAAGAAATGTAGTTGTGTTGTCCATTTCTGTCCCCCACAGCTGCTCTGGTCTCCCTGGACTCCCCTGGGCCAGGAGGGGTCCTGCTCTTCCGGGCAGCTGAGCTCTCTGGCGTCCTACACCACCTTCACGGCCCGGAGGAACCCCTTTAACAGCGCCTGGGGGGTGGAGATGGAGTCTGAGGAGTGAGCAGAGGCCACCTGTTGCGGGGGCCCAAGGCCAGTTCATCCCCAGGATGGCCCCCATCGCCAGCCCCGAGTCCTTCCCCCATAAGGGCTCCCACGCCAATGAGCCCGTCCTGCCCGTCCGTGTCCCCTGTTGTTATTAAAGAGCAAGCAAATGGAGCCGGCGTGGCTTCTCTGTGAAGCGCAGGTGCAGGGGTCAAGGGGCGGGGGTGCAAGGGCACTGGCTCCTGTCTCTCCCCGAGGACCTGGGTCGCACAACCCGAGGGGCTCGGTCACCTCTCCCCGACCTCCGTTCCTCGCCGGCCTCTGGGGTCCAGCACGGGACCGCCGCCCCCTCCCCATTCTCCCGGACCCCGCAGCGGCCGGTCCCTCGGGCCCCTCCGCCCTGCGCCCCACCCCGCGCCCCACGTGCGCTGACCCCAGGTTCCCTTCCTGATCCCCAGCCCCTTAATTGGGAGGCTCCGCCCCGTGCGCAGTGACGTGGGACGCCGCTGTCAGCCGGAGCTGGGGGGGGTCGGTGTGGGGTAGAATGGCCGCTGCCGCCGTCACCCGCGGGACCCCGGGAGGTAAGAGCCAGGGCTTCCCGCCCGCCTCTCGGCCCCCGCGCCAGGGGGCGCAGCTCCTCCTGCTCCCGACGCGGAGCGCCGCGCCCGGGACCACCGTCCCTCCTCCCCGCTTCCGTCCTCCTCTCCCGCGCCAGGGGGCGCCGCTCGCCGCAGGGCCCCGCGGCGGACCTGCGCCTGCCGGGGAGCGTCCCGGGGACCCCCGCACCCCGCACCCCGACTGTGCCTGACCCGCAGCGCGCCCGCGGACTCTGCTCCGCGACCTCCCACCACATCCTCTATGCCGCCGCAGGACCCTCCTACCTCCGAGGTTCCCCCGGGGATCACCGCCCCGCCTTGGGGGGGCTGCCCCAAGCGCCGGCTGTCAGAGCCCAGCGCTGCCCCCGGATCCGCAGCCCGGGACCCGCTCCCGCTCCGCACCCTGGCAGGCTGCCTAGCCGGGACTGCGCACCTGCGCCCTGGGGCGGAGTCCTTCCCCCAGCCCCAGCCTCCCTGCACACAGCCGCGCGAGGCTGGGCCTCCTCCCCCTCTGCATCTGGGACACCTGGCGAGCCTGCGCCCAGAGCCTCCTCCAGCTCGCATCTGTTCCCCCTGGAGGGCGGGGGCCCAGACTGGAGCCAGCGCGGTAGATGGGGTAGGGAGGCCTGGAGGCCAGGGGAGGCAGAGGTGCTGGGGGAAATGGGGGCTCTGGGGAGGGGGAGCGTGGATAGGCCCTACAGTCAGTCTCGGCCGGAGGTGGAGGTTGTCCTGGGGGTGTCTAACCCAGATTCTCTCGGGCTCCACCAAACTGGAGGAGAGAGAGAAGCTTGGGGCCAGTGATCAGCTCTGCCCTTCCTCTTGAAAAAATCAAATAGAGAAGGAACTCAGGGCGTGCCTTCGGAGGCCTAGCTCGGCCGATCTTCTGCCCTCCCCCTCTGCGTCCGGGCCCTCTAGCCAAGGACCGGATGCCCTGAGTCCCTCCTCCCAGGGCTGACCCCACAGTCGCTCCAGTGGCGGCAAGAGCCCTGACTGTCAGGGCCCCTGAGGCCCCAGCCCTGGCATAGCCTTCTCCCCGCCCCCACCCTCCCCCGGTTCTTCCTGATCACTCTATTCTGTCCTGTCTCCTACTCAAGCTGGTTCACTTCCATTCCCTGCTGCGCTGTCACACAGTCCAGCCCTTTCCTCTCTCTCTCCCTCCCTCCCTCATCTTTCCCAGCCTATCTGCACCCATCCCCCTCCTCCTCATCCTGAATTAATGATGTAGAGGTTTCTTGCCATGACCTGTAATCTCCCTTCCCAGCACAGACTCCCCCTCCCCCCGGCCCCTCAGGCCGGGGGTGACCTTGCCCCCTGGAGCCCTCACCATGAATACCAAGGACACCACGGAGGTTGCTGGTGAGTTCAGAGACCCGGGTCCCCAGCTTGGGTGTGTGGGCACAGCCTCCTGTTCCCCCTGCACTGGGGAGCTCTGCTCTCCTCATACCCCCCCCCCCAAGAGGACTCTGGGGAACCCTCGCCCCTTGTGCTGGGCTGCACCTCACAGGGATGCTGGCGGGGAGCTCACAAAGCCCTCCCTTCTAATTCCCTCCAGAGAACAGCCACCACCTAAAGATCTTTCTGCCCAAGAAGCTGCTGGAGTGTCTTCCTCGCTGCCCGCTGCTGCCTCCGGAGCGGCTACGGTGGAATACAAATGAGGTTTTCCTTTTCCCGGGAGTCTGGGAGTTGGAGGGTACAGCAGAGCCTGGTGGGCTGGAGGCACTGTTCCCACTCCCACAGTATCAGTGAGATGGATTTCCCTCACGTGCTGTGGTTTATCCAGCACCCCAGAGCCCAGGCTTTCCAGCACCTTGGATGCTGGGTGCTGCTGGAAAACATGGTCCTTGTATGAAGCTCCTTTGTAGCTTAGGTGCTTTTGTGGTCGATAGTTACTGATTTCTGTTAGAGCTGTCCGGAAGGGGGATGCATGTGTATGTGACTGTTGTAAGTGCTGTAGAAGCTTCAAGAAGCTCCCATGGAGCCTCAGGGAATGGACCTGGTACATATGGCCAGGATCTGTCGACACAGGAGGTGTGCACGTGGCACGTCAGCCTCATAAAACACGAACAGGCCAGAAGAGGTTTTTCAGAAAGGAGCCAGCAGACGCATCTGGCAAGGGATGTTAGGTGCAGTGTGGCTCAATACTGAAAAAGATGGTCTGATTCCTTAAAAAAAAATCTTGAAGTGTGGAATTCCCGTGCATGTCAAACTATTGATTTTTTTTTTTGGTGGAGGGGGTGTCTGGAAAGGTCACAAAATTGGGATTGGGGGGAGAATGAAATGGTACACAGTGTGTCAAGTGGAGTCTGGGGAGATGATGATGAAAAACTTGGATCTGGTCCCAAGGTAGAGGCTCCACTTGTGAGAAGGGCAGGAGTTTTATCTTGGCTGGGACCCAGAATGCTGAGGAAAGCAGAGAGCCCCACTTGGTACAGGATGTATCCTGCCACAGCTCAGCAGCAAGCAAAGCCCCCAGCAGGTGACCGGGAGGAGGGGGTGCGGGTCTCAGCGCCTCCTCTCCTGCAGGAGATTGCGTCCTACCTGATCACCTTCGAGAAGCATGATGAGTGGCTGTCCTGCGCCCCAAAGACACGGTGAGAAGGCACTCGGAGGTGAGGAGGGGCAGGGACTCTGGTTCTCTGTTCACAGACCCAGAGGCCAACACTCCCCTCCCCAGGCCTCAGAATGGCTCCATCATCCTCTACAATCGCAAGAAGGTCAAATATCGCAAGGACGGTTACTTGTGGAAGAAACGGAAGGATGGGAAGACCACCCGAGAGGACCACATGAAGCTGAAGGTCCAGGGCATGGAGGTGAGGGAGTCAGGCCCCTAGCTCATCTGTCCTTGCTCAGCCCCTGCACCCTTGACTGTACCCACAACCGTGCCATGGCTTGGCAGCGGCCACCACTGCCCTCCCCGCTCCGCCACTCTTCCCTTCTCACTTGGACCAGTGACTGACAGTTTAGCCCATTCTCTGCCTCCCATCTTTCACTATCCAGCACACTGAGGCCCGGTCCCGGTCCCCTTGCTTTTCTGGCATTTCCTTTAGGCTCCAAGCAGTAATACCCTCAGCACAGTTTCTCTGCCATAAATCATTGCTCCTCATCTTAGACGCATTCTTGCTGTGCCCGCAGACTTGTAGACAGTCCCAGGTCTCAAAGCTGGAGTCCAAACAGTGGGCCCAACTCCCCCATATCCCCCTCTTTCTTCCCCCATGGATGACTTGGGCAGCAGGGATTTGAAAGGGGGTTGGGGACTCGGTGGGGGGTGGGGAGAAGGTTGAAGAGGAACTGGTGGAAAGATTGGGATTCCTGCAAAGGGACTGAACAGAGGAAGAGTTGGGGAGCAGACTAGCCCTCCCCCCACCCCAGCCTGTCTCCTGGCAGTGTCTCTATGGCTGCTACGTTCACTCTTCCATCGTCCCCACATTCCATCGGCGTTGCTACTGGCTGCTCCAGGTAAGGCGAGAAGAGTCCAGGGAACCCCACTCTCCTGCCTGGGCTGTCTGAGGGACATGGGGTCTAAAAGCATGAGGGGGAAGGATGACTAAGTTCTCAGCGGGGGAGGGCTCCTGGGAAAGAGACAAAAGAGTGTTAGTGATGAAGAGAGCCAGAAACTGGGGGTGGTAGGCTGGGAGATGTCCAGAAAGAAAGGTGAGCCTCTGGATCTCAGGACCCCATGGTTCTCTTGCCCTCCCAGAACCCCGACATCGTCCTTGTGCACTACCTGAACGTCCCAGCCCTGGAGGATTGTGGAAAGGGCTGCAGCCCCATCTTTTGTTCCATCAGCAGCGACCGACGAGAATGGCTTAAGTGGTCCCGGGAGGAGCTGTTGGGACAGCTGAAGCCCATGTGTAAGGTGGCAAGGCTAGGATAGAGCTACAAGGGGAAAGCAGGAATGGGGACTTGTCAGAGGGCTCAAGGCTCTGTGCCTAGAAGTGTGTGGGGTGACTGCTTCCCTCCAGGGAGAGTTGGTGCTTTCCCATGGGGGTGCTAGCATGTTGGTGCTGTCTAAATGCTATGATATAGAGAAGGGACTGAGGGATAGCTGGCAGTTCTGTAAGCAGTCTTTTTTTGTTCTTTTCAAGATTTATTTATGTGCCTGGTGTGGTAGCCTAGTGGCTAAAGTCCTCACCTGTCACATGCCAGGAACCTGTATGGGCACTGGTTCTAATCCCGGCAGCCCCACTTTCCACCCAGCTTCCTGCCTGTGGCCTGGGAAAGCAGTCGAGGACGGCCCAAAGCCTTGAGACCCTGCACTTGTGCGGGAGACCTGGAGGTCCTAGCTTCATATTGGCTCAGCTCCAGCTGTTGCAACCACTTAGGGAATGAATCATCAGACAGAAGATCTTCCTCTCTGTCTCTCCTCCTTTCTGTATATCTGACTTTCCAATAAAAATGTGTTAGGAAGGCAGAGTTGCAAAGA